AATGCCGTTTCCATGCTGTACCCAGGCCTGAAGCCCGACTGGAACGGATCCAGATACATCGTTTCATCCAGGTACTGGAGGAGCTGTCGCGCAACCACACTCTCAACAACCTTCGCCACAAAACCAAGGTTGGAGACCGGACAATAATTAGCCAACACTGCTGGGTCCAGGGAAGGCTTCTTGAGGAGAGACCTCACCACCGCCTCTTTCAAGGCGGCGGGGAAGTCACCCTCACCCAACGAAGCATTTATAATCCCCTGGAGCCAGCCTCGCGTCACCTCCCGGGAAGCCAGCACTAACCAGGAGGGGCACGGGTCCAATAAACAAGTGGTCGCGTTCAGTCTACCCAGAATCCTGGCCACGTCCTCAGGGGTCACAGGATCAAACTCATCCCAGATAACATTCTCAAGACCTGCCCCAGTCCCTCCCCCCTGAGACTACCCAGTCGGAGTCCAAATCTTCCCGGATCTGAGTGATTTTGTCATACAGATACTGAACAAAATCCTCGGCTCTACCCTCCAAGGGGTCCTCCCGCGCTTTCTGGTGGAGCAGGGAGCGGGTCACCCTAAACAGGACGGCCAGGCGGTTATCTGATGATGCAATAAGAGCAGCAAAATAGCTACATTTCGCTGCTTTTATCGCCACTAGGTAATTCCTAATATGAGATCTTACCAGTGTCCGGTCCGATTCTGAAAGACTGGCCCTCCAACTACTCTCTAGGTGTCTTTTCCGGTACTTCAACTCCCTTAGCTCCCCAGTAAACCAAGGAGCCAAATGAGATTGGCGCCGGGTCAGAGGCCATAAAGGCACGACCCGGTCCAGAGCTCCAGCGGCCGCCCTATCCCAGGCGGCCACTAGGTCTCCAGCTGAGGCGTGTGCCAGAGCCTCAGGAAATGGCCCAAGCTCCATCTGGAACCTATCAGGTTCCATCAGGCGCCTGGGGCGGAACCATCTTACCGGCTCCGCCTCCCTGCGGCGGGGTGCTAATCTCTGGCGAGGCACTTTTCACCTTCGGACACAACACCTATTTGCTGTGGATTTAATTACAAACTGGACTATTCAAACTGTGTGTATTTTTGTCTGTGTTATCGGAGTAAAAGTTTTTGACAGGCAGCCATGGAGTTGCTGCCAAGTTCCTTATCACTGACGTTGAGTGTTTGAAGAGTTTATTTAACCCTCAGCTGGCTGGTTGAGTGTGTGCGTGGTACAGGGACAGAACACAGGCCCCAGCTCTCCTCTGGATGGCAGTGGTCACCAGCTCCCTTGTCGTCATCACTGGGAGTCACTCACCAGCCCTTGGAATGAACCTCGGCACCTGAAGTCTTCCTATGCCCGGTACAGGTCCCCAGTGGCTGGCCATTCGGTATAGGTCTTCAGCCAGGTGCCCATCTGCTGGACGATCTCCGCTGCCACTTCCACCATCCACTGGGTCCCCTAGGGAGTTTGCAGGCTCTCCAGGAAGCCACCCCAGTAGCCCTCCATTCTGCCTTCTTCCCTGAGTCTTTCTGCTGCCTGGGTAAACCAGGGCAGCAGCTGGACTCAGGACCCCAGAGGGCAGCTCCAGTTGGAGCAGAGAATTTTGGAGGAGAATTGGTTTAATATCAAGGTTCCAAGTAATACACCCATAGCAAACAGAACTCTGAGGCAGGTAGATTCCTCGAAGAACAGCTTTATTTGGAGATATCATCTTGGCATGACTGGTGGAAAACCAACTCTGAAAGTTCCTGCATTTTCCACCTCATTAAAAAGTGAAAGTTTCTTGTTCTCCCAAACAATAAGTCACACTGTCCAATCTGAGTGCTGGCTGGTTGCCTGGTTACTTTTCTCCTCCTCCTCTGGCCAACCAGCATTTGGAATGTCCTTGGCTCATCAGAGAACTATTTTGTTTTGGCTACAAACCCCAATTATCTTTACATCCCCCTCTGCTTCAGGCTGTGTCAAGCCTGAAGCCATGTGAAGAAAAATCCCCATAGAAAAAGCTACAGAAAAGAAAACGACCATAGCCAGGTTAGCTTCAGGGTTGACAATAATTTTTATTTTATTTTTTTAAAATTTGATTTATATGCCACCCTTCTCCGGAGACTCAGGGCGGCTTACAATGCATTAAGCTATAGCCTTCATACTTTTATATATTTATGCAAAGTCAGCTTATTGCCCCCACAAACTGGGTCCTCATTTTACCTACCTTAGAAAGGATGGAAGGCTGAGTCAACCTTGAGCCTGGTGAGATTCGAACTTACAGTAATTGCAGACAGCTGGTGTTAATCACAATGCTTTTAGTCTGCTGAGCCACCAGGCTCCCAAGGTTTTTTTAATGGTTTTAAACAAACTTCCTTAACCTTTCATGCTCTGGACCAGTGTTTCTCAATCCCAGCAACTTTAAGTTGTGTAGACCTCAACTATGTTGTCTGGAGAATTGTGGAAATTGAAGTCTCATATCTTAAAACTGCTGAGATTGAGAAATACTGTTCTAGATGCTGGGATGTAACTCTTAGAATTTTTACAAAAGTCTGACCAAGATAGAACATGAGAGCCAGTTGATTAAGTTTGGACCAGTCACTGTCTCTCAGCCCAGTCATTCTCACAGTGTTGTTGTGGGAAAAATAAGAGGAAGGAATATATGTTGGTGTTTGCCACCTTATTTATTATTTATTATTATTTATAAAAATAATAAAGGCAGGATATAAATAATTTTTAAAAATATTTGTTCTGACCCGGCTCCCAAACACTACAAGCCCTTTGTATTTAACGAAATGTTCCCTTTATTACGAGCACCAGCAATCGCTCTCTCACAGCAGGCTACAAAGTCTCTAAGTCTTGTGGAAAGTGATGCTCATTCCCTTTCCCCCTGAAATAGCCCCAATACACCAGGAGTCTCTCTCTCTCTCTTCCCACACTTGCAAAGAAAGTCCTGGAAAGTGTGCTCGCTTTCTTCCAGCAACAGAGGCACACACACACATGCTGAGAAGTTGCTGTATATTCCAAGAAGAATTCTGATAATTTCCAGACAGGATTAGGAAGTGCAGGCTATCAGTGGCTGACTGGCAGGGAGATGAATAGATGTCTGTGATATCTATTCATCTCTGCCCCCTGCCTTTTATCCCCAGAACTAGGGTGGGGCTTCGCTAGCAGCAGTGGCTCTTCCATTCCAAGGACCATCCCATAGATTCACGTTGCTGTCCTCTTCTCTGCCTTCTGTGCATCCGTGCATCAGGCACTGGGCCCAGCTGTTCCTCCTCTTCCTCATCAGCCACCTCCAGACCTGCGAGCTGTTGACTCTCCATCTGAGGACTGATGGATGGCTCAGGCTCTGTCTCTATCTCTGACAGCTCCATTCCCTTTTCCTAGAGCTCTCTGATTGCCTGATGCTGGCCCTGACTCCCATGCCTCCTCCTCATCTGATGCAGCTGCTGGAGGGGCTGGTGGCTGACAGGCCACAACAATATTGTTTTATGCAAATTTCTTAGAATATAGAAGACTTTTGTTTTATTTTGTAACAGGAGAGTTTTAATCAGTGGTGGGATTCAGCTAGTTCGCACTGATTCAGTTGAACCAGTAGCTAACTTTTTGTGCAGTTTGGCGAACCAGCTGAATAGCATGCCTGTGCCCGGCCCTTCTTTCCTCCCCTCCAAGCCACTCCTCACCTGGCCTGAGAAGATAAGGCTAACAGCGGGGAGGGAGACCCATTCTGGGTCTTTTGCCTTGAGCAGAAAGTTGAACTAGAAGACCTCCAAGGTACCTTCTAGCCTACGATTCTAAAGGCTCCAAGAAAGGGAATTTGCTTAAATTTTGTGTGTGTGTGTGTGTGTGTGTGTGTAAAAGAGAGAGAGAGAGGGAGGGAGGGAGAGAGATGTGGCTTCTTGGGGGTGCATTTTGGAGAAGTGTCAAGAGAAATGTTAAAAGGGCAATCAGTTTGGGATTTCCTTACCCTGAAAACCAGTTTGGGTCTTCAGGGTAAGGAAACATGAAGAACTTTCAACTGCAGGTTTCTAAAAATCTTTTAAAATGAATGTCTAGAGGCAGCTCTTTAACTCATTAGTCCAGAGGGTTAGTGTTTTTTAAACTTGGCAACTTTCAGATTCATAAAGAAGGAGTTAACATATTGCTTCCTTGATGTTTCTGTTATAGTATTATATACTAATGGAGCTGAGACCACCACAAACTAAGTAAGATAGTATGTGCATTGTACCTACAGATCTTGTCAACACCTTTGTATGAGAAGGATGATCAAGGGGAAAAATGTTAATCTCCTGTGCGCTGCTTGGAGAGTCCAAGCAATGGGTTCAAGTTTAGCTTGGTTGGCAAGAGACTGAGTTGAATTTGCCTAGCCATGCCTCTTTCTCCCATGAGGCTTCAGTGTTTCAACTCAGTCAGCCTAAAGAGACTTGCTTTAATTTCTCCGTCTTAGAAAATTTCTTTAAAATTCTTTAAAATATTCTGCCAGCCACAGAAGAAACCGTCTTTCTCCCTTTTCTCTTAAAACTTAACACTAACAGCTGAAGTGTTTCCCACTGCCAGGAGCTCCGTGGAACTAATTAGCTCCGGAGCTAATCTCTTGCCTCAGGTGCCGTTCCTAATTGCCGCCATTAACAGCACAACCGAGGCAATCCTTTTAAAGGCAAATTAGGCTCCTAACAGCTCAGAAACGTAGCAAAAAGCCTCAAATGCCTCAGAAACTATCATGGGATCGCTAATTAGCAGTTTTTCTTTATCGGAAACAGCAAGGAGATTTACTGCTATTGCCATTTGTGGTTTGGGGATTGTTGTGTCTGTCCCGCACCATTGATTACTGCTGCCTTTCTCTCATAGCGTTATTAGAGCTGGTCATTGATCAGTCTCATGCCTAATACCTAGCAGCAGTGGAAAATTGCGCTTACACACTATTGTATCAGTTTGGCGCCATATTTACCAATACTGGAGTGAGGAATAATATCATTATTATAATCATTGTCCTAGTAAGCTCTTCTGATTGAATTGCCTTTTTTTCTTGTCATTCCAAGATGGCGGATCGCAGCTCCTATCACTCCAAAAGTACTGCATCCCATTCTTCTGCTTCTAAGAGAGCTAAGTCTTCAGATCACAGTAAAGCAATGGGGCCTCAGCCTGGGCCTTCCACCAGATCCAAGGCCTCTTCTTCCACAGCTGTTGATAAGGATGCAGAAAGAAGGCAAAAAGCCTTAGAGAAACAATTTGCAAAGGCAAAAAAAGCAGGCAGAAGCCTCCTCAGGCCTAGGCCTTGTCATTGTTCTAATATCTAATATTATTGGAGCCTAATATCCCTCCAATTCAGGATACACCTCCTTCTGCTTCAAACGAAGATAGATTGAATTGGTCTCCAGATATTACCACAGATCCTCCAACTGAATTAATTGAGAGTGCTGAGGAGGTTATTCCCATATCAGAACAGGGCTCATCTGATCAGGGAGTCATTCCAGTACCTAGGAGGTCAGCTCCCTCAGCTACTTTCACCCCTACAGCGGCGGGGCTCCGCCCTGAGGTAAACCAGGCCCCTGTTCTTTCTCAGGAACTCTGCCAGATGTTAGCTCAGACCATTGCCCAGGGCATAGACTCTGCCCTGCTTAGGAGGGGCATTCCTGCTCCCGCCTCAGCTGGTACCACTCCCAATGTACACCAGGCCCACCAGGATAGGGTTTATTCCCGGGCCCTCCACTCACCCCATGATTCTCAGGGCAGTGAATGGTCTTATACTGGGGAGGAGGAAGAATTCGCAGATCATGATCTTTCTGAAGATGAAGGCTGATCTCCAGACAAACCAGCCTTCATTGGCCTTTTCAACCCTAGCATGTTCAAGACCTTGTTATACAAGGCCAAAACCACTGCCAATCTAGGGGTTGTGGCTGGGGCATCTGACCGTTCGGCGGAGCAGGATCCCCATGCTTGATTATTTACAGAACCGGTCACTACCCAGGACGCTGTTCCTTCTCCCAGATTATTCATAGACATTATCAAGAAGCAATGGCTTCAACCTGGATCCTTGTCTAATCCCAGCGGATTAGACAAAAAGATGTACACTGTAGAACAGGAGGTAGAGGACATGCTTAAGTTGCCTACAATAGATACTCCCTTTGCCAATCTAGCATCTTCCAATATTCTCCCCTCAAACTCTGCAGAAGGGCTGAAGACCGAGGATAGGAAAGCTGAGATGTCAGTTTGTAAGACACATCAAGCAGCTGCCTGGGCGATCAGATCAACCACGGCAGCTTCCTTCTTTAATAGAACCTCCCTCTTGTGGCTGCGTCAAATGCAGGCAAGGGCTCCCCCGGAGATGTCAGATTACACCAGGACATCAACAAATTAATTGCTGCAGCAGAATACTCTGCTGATGCAACCCTTAATTCAGCTAAGTTCGCTTCCAGGGCCCTGGCATCTAACGTGACTTCCAGGCGATTATTATGGCTTCGCCATTGGCAAGCCGATATGAAATCCAAATGGAAATTGGTGTCTGCTCCTTTTCAGGGCAATAATCTTTTTGGTGAGGTTTTAGATCCCATTTTGGTAGAGACCAAGGATAAAAGGAAGGTACTTCCCCTGTCTCACAGGAGGACAGACAGGAGATACTCTCCATATTATCGCAGGCAGTCCTTTCATGGGGCGGAGGGCGGTTACTCCGCCCCAACCTATCAGGGGACTTACCCCCCCAACTTCAGACCGATCCCAGGATAGGGCTCAGTTCAGGGACAGGTCTAGACAATCCCAGTCTAGGAGACCCTTTCGATTGGCCGGCGGTAGACCTTACCGCAGGTCCAAATGACTCCCAGTCACACATTCCCATTGGAGGCCGCCTCATGAGGTTCTCAGCCCAATAGGAGCTCATCACAACCGACGCCTGGGCTCTGCAAACAGTCCGGCTCGGTCTCACATTGGAGTTTTCATCCCTCCCTCCAATGAGATTCATCTCTTGCACTCTTCCCAGAGATGCCACCAAAAGGTCTCTGATGGAAGCCGAGATCCTTCATCTACTTTCCATCCAGGCAATAGAACCGGTGCCTGTCTCGCAGAAGGGTCTCGGTTTCTATTCGATCCTCTTTCTGGTTCCCAAGAAATCGGGGGGTTGCAGGGGAATACTAGATCTAAAAAGACTCAACAAACACATCAAATACCTCTATTCTAAATTGCATCAGACAGGGGGATCTGCTTACATCCATAGATCTAAAGGAAGCCTACCTGCACATACCAATTCGGATTTCACACAGGAAATATCTCAGATTCTGTTACGCAGGGCAACACTTCCAATACAGGGCCCTTCCATTCGGCCTGTCCTCTGCCCCCAGGACGTTCACAAAGCTCCTGGACGTGGTGGTAGCCCATCTGCGGGCTCGCCCAATCAGGCTTCAATGTTACCTAGACGATATTTTGATTCAATCCTCATCCATCAGGCAGGCGAGACAGGATTTGTCAGAGACTATTCAGGCTCTGCAACTTCACGGGTTTTCAGTAAATCTAGAAAAGAGCCAGTTAATTCCATCCCATTCTATTCTTCATTTAGGTGCCCGGATAGACACAGTCAGTTGCCAGGTCTTTCTATCACCAGAACGTCTAGTCAGCATATGGGCCTTGATACATTGGGTCAGGTCAGCCAGCTCTGTCTCCCTCGCAGTATTGCCCCAGTTGCTAGGGAAAATGATTTCATGTCTGGCCATCGTTCCTTGGGCAAGGTTACATTCCCAGACCTTACAATGGTTCCTCCTACCAAGCCAACGAGCAGGTATCAGTCACTCCACAACAAGAGTCAGGGTGCCTCCAAAAGTTCTCCACTCCCTGAACTGGTGGATGTCACCTTCCCTAGAGAAAGTCTGTCTCTTCAAGGAACCGCCACGTCTAACACTAACTTCAGATGCCAGTCTATTCGGCTGGGGGGCTCACCTGGGTTCCCAGATGGCACAGGGCAGATGGTCACCACAGGATCTGTTGCACAACATAAATTGGTTGGAACTCAGAGCTGCCCACCTAGCTCTACGTCACTTCCACCTCTCGCTAACCAACCAGCACGTGTTGCTGTTAACCGTCAATGTCACTGCCAAGGCACATGTGAACAGGCAGGGAGGCACCCGGTCCAAGTACCTGATGTCCGAAGCAGCGAGCCTCAGCCTCTGGGCGGAATCACACCTGCTCTCCCTTCAGGCGGAACATATTTCAGGAGCACACAATGAACAGGCGGACTGGTTGAATCGAACAACCATTGACCACTCTGAATGGCGTCTCCATCCAGACCTGTTTCACCAACTGACAACCAGGTTCGGCCAACCATGCGTGGATCTATTTGCAACACCAAAGAACACTCACCTACCTCGGTTCTTTTCCAGATTTCCGACGGCAGGGGCAGAAGTGACCGACACCCTTCGGGCGCCCTGGCCTCGAGGCCTTCTATAAGCCTTTCCTCCGACACCTCTACTACCATGGGTCATCTGGAAGCTTCTGGACGAGCAGGCAGAAATTCTGTTGGTGGCTCCGCACTGGCCCAGAAGGGTATGGTTTGCGGACCTAGTGTCACTGTCAGTGTCCCACCTGTGGAGGATTCAGCCAGACAGGATTGTCCTAAGCCAGGGGGCAGTGCAACATCCCGAGCCCCAGTGGCTCCAACTGGCCGTCTGGCGATTGAATGGGAAATCCTGAGGGACTCCAGATTCTCGAGCGAAGTCATTTCTGTCATCCAGGCCTCTCGTCGTCCGTCTACTACCAGGATTTATGACGCCACTTGGTCAGCGTTCTCTAGCTAGTGCCGAAAATCGCACATTCCTCCCAGGACAGCTTCCCTTCTGGACGTCTTGAGTTTCCTTCACTCAGGATTCAAACAGGGACTTACTGCCAACACGCTCCGCAGACAAGTGGCCACCTTAGCGACTATTCTGCATGGAGAGGGTCCTATCCCTTTCTCTCAACACCGCAAGGTGAGGAGTTTTCTTCGAGGTGTTGCTAATTTACGGCCTCCTCCAGTCCATATGTATCCTTCCTGGGACTTGCCTCTCGTCCTACAAGCGCTCACATTTGCTCCATTCGAGCCTTTAGGATCCGCCAATCTCAAAATACTTACCTTCAAGGTCGCCTTCTTGATAGCAATCACGTCTGCAAGGAGGATCTCCGAACTGGCGGCACTCTCGGTACGTAGAGATTTATGCATCTTTTACTCCGACAGGGTGGTCCTCAGGTTGGACCCGACTTTCATACCAAAAGTCAATTTTTGGTTTCATAGGGCACAGGAGGTGGTTTTACCTAACTTTTACCCTGACCCAGCACATCCTAGAGAACGGCGTTGGCACACGCTCGATGTTCGTAGGGCACTTCGCAAATATATTGACAGGACCGCTTCATTCAGGAAGTCTGAAGCACTATTTGTATCATTCCAGCCTACTGCCATGGGCAAGAAAGTTACCCCATCTACAATTGCGAGATGGATCAAAGCTTGCATCGCAATGGCTTACGAACACCAAGCTACTCCAGTGCCCAGAAACATCACTGCACATTCAATTCGTAGCACTGCTACCACAGCAGCCTGGGCTACTCAGGCTTTCATATTGGAGATTTGCAGGGCCGCAACTTGGGCTTCTCCCACTACCTTTATCAGAAATTACAAGTTGGACGTTTTTGCCTCAGCCGAGGCTTCGTTTGGCAGAAGAGTCCTGGCAGAAGAGTCCTGCGTTCTACCAGGAGAACGACACCTGGACCGCTCGGACTCCCACCCTGGGGATACTTAGCTTGGGTATATCCCATTGCTTGGACTCTCCAAGCAGCGCACAGGAGATTGAACATTGGATCTTACCTGAATGTTCAATCTATGTGCACTGCAGGAGAGTCCAACCCCGCCCTAAGGTAGCGGTCCAGCATCCAACACCTAGTTATAGTGGACATTCTTCTATCATCATTGCTACATCTTCTACAGACTTCTTCGTCGAAACACTGAAGGCTCATGGGAGAAAGAGGCATGGCTAGGAAAATTCAACTCAGTCTCTGGCCAACCAAGCTAAACTTGAACCCATTGCTTGGACTCTCCTGCAGCGCACATAGATCGAACATTCAGGTAAGATCCAATGTTCATTTTATAGCATTTATTGCATATTCATAATCCGCTACATAAATTTTGCACTGAGCTTTCATTTGGACTGTAAACATAGAACTAGATGGAAAAGAGTATGAAAATAAGTGCTTTCAGTAGGTGCATTTTCAATATAGAATAGCTATTAATGAATTGTCTGTAGCTACTTAAAATATCCTTTGGGGCTTGTTCTGGAAGCATTAAGGCATTAGGGAAGATATTCATTCAAAATAAAGAATACAGCAATAGGTGTTGTGGAGAGTCAAGAATATGGTTCTAAAGTAATGGTTGGAAAATGGAAAGCTAAGCAAAATCAAATTGTATAGATTTGCTTTCTCTTTTATGCATTGTTTCAATATTTTAAAAAGCTTCTAGAAATTCCTCTTAGCTTTGAGCTGTATTTTGTAAAAAATTTTCCCCTAGAATTGAACAATTTTGAAAACAAAACCACACATTAATTAAAAACATTTTATCCTTAAAAGAAGGGTAGAAAGAAAATCAGATGGCAGAGTATGAAGAATAAGCACACTGCTAATGAAATTGATCTATCAGCTTCAGCTTTGTTACATGACCCAGTCCAGTGGACTTTAGGAAAGCTATAGGGATAACCTGGGAGGTTTGAACTCTCTGTCTTGCTATTCTTTTTATAAAAGTGCACAAGTCACCAATGCTCCATAAGCTTTAGCTATAATTGGCAGGATGGTTGACGGTGTCAATGGAAAGCTAATGTGGCTAAAAGGAACTGAAATTGCTTTACACTATTTTCTAATGGGTAGTATACTGACAAGATAAAATTAATTGGAAATTATAGCTTGTGGTTGTTCCTATGTTCCATCTCTAAAAGAATTTAGAAATGTTTAAAGTATCTGCATTTCATATGTACTAATTGGGTAACATTATTCAATTGCCTTGCCATCTATTTGCAGATGAACTAAAAGGTTATGGACCAATTTTTGAAGAGCAGCCCATTGATACGGTATACCCAGAAGAGTCTCCAGATGCAAAAGTGTCAATGAACTGCAGAGCCAGAGGAATCCCTACACCTACTTACAAGTAACTAGAGTTGCTTTCCTAATGCTATATTAATAATACTAATTGTACTAATTCAGTTTAGAGCTGAGATTTGGTCCAAAAATGCAACTGTGGTGGATAACTCTAGCAAGTTTGGAAAAGTCAGTTTACTAACAACTGCAGAAAGCTTAATGATTTAGTTCCAAGGTTTTGTTACTTTTTCAGAAAGGGCATTTTAACTTACAGCCACCTATATCATTGCTATGTGAGTAGCAATGCAAAGTAGCGGACAAAGTCAATTGGGAAGTTTGCAGGAAGTCAGAAGTCATGATGATGATCATGTGAGATCCACACTTAATAATGCACACAGTCTTCACTTAACTAAAAGTAATTGGGGACTGCTATAACTGCTGTTGCTAACTCGTATGGTCAAATATCACGCTTAATGACTGCTTCGTTTAGCAATGGAAAACACCAATTGTTATTACTAAGTGAGTCCTACCTGTATATTATTTTTAGCAAATAAAAGTGTACTGTAAAAATGAATAGAAAACAAATAGTAAGAGATGAGCAGTGCTGAAATCAATCTGCCCTGGTACAATTGTTATTTTTCTCTTTTTTAACATTTATAAATAACAGTACATTAGAAATCATAAGAAGTATTAACCTCAAAGATCGAAACCTTTTTCTTATGAGGAAATGATTCAGTTGCATTTTGCTTCTGTTTATCAATGTGTCAGATCCACCAGCTTCGGCTTGATGCCTGCTGACATTCTGCCATCAATTGGGAAAGGTGGGGGGAAGGGACAAATGGGCCATAAAGCTGTATTATTATGAGAAATTGGGAGGGAGGGGGAATTGACAGTTGAAGAAGAACAGAGGGTTTTGGAAGTGGCATGCTGGCATCTTCAAGGTCGTTTGCCCTGAGAGTGGAATTTCACCAACCCAAACACCTCAGCATTTCCCAAAACATCTGGGCAGCGCTGGATTGGCTACACATGGATGGACCAGGGAGTGGGGGAGGTTATGGGAAACCAGGGGTATAGTTCTGTATTGGAATGTGGGAATTTTAGATTCCACTTGACTTAATTGCAATCAGCATCTCTTAGTAAAAGTGCCTTTTCACTTCAACCAAATGGAGTTGAGAATTTTACTTCCCTAAGGGATTAGACTGGGGCACATCCGACATTAAATGGAATCTGCAATTGAGAGCATCACCTCTACCATCATGAACATGCATGTGATGTTGGCTCAAGAGAGTGACCAGGAAGAAATTGAATGCTGGGGGAGCCTTCGTCCAAGCCTCTGTGCAGGCTGGATCATTACAAAAGGACTAGAAACAGGGAGATGTGTGATGATCTGCTAAGATCCAGGTGGTCCCTGGGCATCAGAAGGAAGGAGGACTGGGAAGAGAAGCCTGCGGGGGTGACTTTTACTTGTGGAAGCTGCAGAAGCCACCAATGAGAACAGAGAATGGAACTGAAAGAACTGGAGGAGGAGGAGGAAGAGACAGGTGGAAAGCATGGCCAGGCTGACTGGATGATGGAGCAAGTCAAGTTTATGGAGGTGGCTTTCAAAAGCCTCAAGGCACGCAGAACCCTTGCTGTCGCCAGACAGTCAGCCATGTCCAGCCTTAGTGACCAATGGGGTGACCACATCCAGCACAGCAGGCAATGTGGGAGATTGATCTGAGACTGCAGAAGCTTCCACAGCCCAGCACAATTGTTTAATACCGAACGAGTGCTAAAACACTCAGACCCTAACATCCCATTTATTATTCAGGTGGATGCTAGCAATGTGGCAGTGGGGGGCAGTTCTTTTACAAAGAACTGCCAGGGTGCCTTACAACCTGTGTGTATACCTCCAGGAAATGAACTGATACTGAATGGCAGTAGGTGGTTTAGGAGAACGAGGCTTATGCAGTGCCCTGGGCACTCTTAACATGGAGACATTGCCTGGAAGGGAGCAAGAGCCCTTTAGAAGTTTGGACTGACCACAAAAACCTAGAAGCCCTAAAAACGCCCCGGAGATTATCGCACAAAGAAGTTCAGTAGACTCAATACTTTAATTGGTTTACCTTCAAGCTCTGCTACCTCCCAGGGAGAAAGGATTTCGTAGCTGATGCACTATTCAGGATGCCCCAATAAAACAGCTCCAAGCAGGGAATAGTCAGACTGGTTATTCTGTCTTACCAGCTTGCGGCACTAGTCATCACCTGAGCACAGGTGAAAGCAAAACCCCAAATTGGGGAAGGCATAGTGGACACTCTAACAGACACTCTAAAAGTAGCACTAGAGGGAGACAAATGGTTCAATCTCACAAAAATGAATGCACAATGCAAGGTGGCCTAGCCTGGGTAGGGGCCAAGCTGTATGTTCTGAAAAGCCAAAGATTACAAGTCCTGGAGAAAAGCCATGATTCAAAGACTGCAGGACATTTTGGTTTTGTAAAAATGTTACACCTGATTAAGTGCAAGTTCTGGTGGCTGCCGCTTAAGAAAGACATTCAAAGTTATGTGGCCATAGACTTCCGGTGGCTCCGCGTTCCCCAAATGGACGCTCCTTTAGGAGCTCCAGCCCCGTGATTCCGTTTGCCATTAGAACAGCGAAAATCAGCTGTTCTAGCGGCTCGAAACTCTCCCCCAGGGAAAAAGGGGGAGAGAAGAGCAGAAGGGTCTGGGTAGAGCTCCCCTAGACCCCCAGGCTTTTTTTTTAAGCCTGGGGTTTGCAGGGTGAGAGCTCCCTGAAAGCCCTTCAGTGCTCCGGATCCGGGACGATTCTGCTCTATGCAGAACAAGCGGTCGCGACCACACCAGCAGTGCAATTTTAAGGACTATGAGAAAATTCGAATCTGGATGCTGGCAGAGCAAATCAGGAGAACAGAAAATGCAAGTATTAAACTTTAACTCCGTTTAAAAGAAAAAGGAAAAAAGATGGCGCTTAAGGGCATTTAAAACGAAACTTACAAGTGAAAGTGATCGTTAAAGCTGCAACATTGTAAAAGCTACCGGATTATGCGGCAAGAAAAAGATTTAAAGTGCTAGTGAAATGAAAAAGACTATGGTATTGACCTCAACTACATTATACTTCTAAATTGTGTGGAAAATTATTGGATTTATTGACCTGATAGCTGAATAAACTTAAACTGGGAATTGAAATATGGCTGACATCAAGGATGGAGGATCATTACTATATGAGCCAGCAAATTCACAAGTTGTGACTGTAGAGGTTTTACAAGAACTTATAATTTCTATACTTCTGCTATACTGGAATCAATTGAAAGGACTATTCAAAATTATAATCTGAAGAACAAAAATGATTTGCTGGCTGGAAAAGAGCAAGAAAATCAAACTAACTTGTCTTTGGAGCAGGGAAAAGAGGCTGTCAGGAACACGATGGAAGTTAGCACATTGAAAACGGAGGTTTTGGCAGAGGCTTCTATGCAGTTAAATGAAAAGCAGCAAATAGACTCTTTCCTGCAGACTGATAAACTTTATCGTGACAATTCTTGGTTTTATAGACAGAATCAATTTTTAAGGGAGGAAGTGACTGATTATAGCAGGAAGAGTAGAAATGGAGCTTTCAAAATGAAGGAGATAACTTTAAGGAGAGAGTGATTTTCAAAGATGCATCAGTATCAAATCTACATTCAAAAATTTTTGAAAATAAAAGCAGGGAAGGAGCAATGTTGAAGGAGAGAGTATTATTGAAGAAGAAGGATTGGAAAAAATATAGAAAGAAAGGAAGAATTGAAGATTAATTTCTTTTGGGGAGGATTTTAATAATAAATTTGAAAAGTCTATTGAAATTAGCACTTTTTTTAAGTTTAAGTAAAAATGTTTAACTAAAAATGGATAGCTTTTTTAAAAAATGACTGTGGTATTAAAATGGTTAACTTTAAAGTTAATGGATGATTTTCTGAAAGTTTTGAAATTGATATTTTAAAGAATGAATTTAAGACTTAGAAATAACTAAACTCAATGGATTAATAGTATCTTTAAGGTTATATTCTGAAGAATATTTTATTGAAGTATTTTTTTTGAGAGAAAGAAAAAAAAAGAACTTAATGAAGTACTAAAATGGTTAATTTAAAATTGAATGGATGCAAAATAATATCTTCTTTTTTTTCTTTTTCTTAAAGAGATATGCTTTAAAGAAAGTTTTAAAATGTTTAAATTAGAATTTTAAAAGGGGAGGCTGATGAACAATTTTTAAAAAGAGGAGTTAAAGAGGGTGAGGGAGTTTTGAATCTTGTAGCAAGTTAGTATATTTTAGTTTATGTTTAGTTTAATGCTATACCCTGTTTTTGCTCTGGGAAGTCGGGGGTGGGGGTGGGGAGGAGGGGTAGAAGGTTGTGTGGGGATAAAATGGTTGTCTAACTTTTAATATAATTAAAAGATAGATTAAGGTATTAATAGAGAAGTAAGAAAAATGGGGGAAATGTTATAATAAAGGGAATGACAATATTAAGATATGATAAATATTGGAGGAGCAAAAAGAAGACTTAAAAGATGTATTCAGAAGATATAATGATTGATTATGTATTGTTTGTTTGTTTATAAAATAAAAAAAACTTTTTTTATAAAAAAAAAAAGTTATGTGGCCATAAACACCAGGACTCCTCCAACCAGTGACAGAACTAACATCCCCTGAAAAGAAATTTCTATGGACTTCATAGTAGAGCTACTAGAAAGCTCAGGAAACACAGTAGTTTGGGTGATCACTGGTTTGTTGTCTAAAAAAGTGCATTTCGTGCCCTGCCAAAAGATCCCTTCTACCCATACAATGGCTTATTCATCCACCATGTCTATAGGCTGCATGCTGCTCCACAGTGGATAATTTCCAACTGAGGACAGGACATTGGGCCCATGCCTGAGCTGCCCTTGACCATCACCACCCCACTCCCCCATTCCATCTTTAAAAGACTGGGTTGCCCAGCTACAGAATTCCTGGCTGGTCATCAGAAAATCATTAGAGGAGGCAAGAGAAATTTATACAGATTTATACAGATTAACAGAGTTGGAAGGGACCTTGTAGGTCATA